ACATAAGGGCTGACGGGGTGGGAATGGGATCCGGGAGGATGGGACATTGGAAAGGAGGATGGGCCCACAGCACCCAGCCACAGCTTTAAGAAGCTCAGGGCAGCAGGAAAAGGGAGCTGGGGGCCCCTCACACACCCATCCCGGGGGACAGGCTCTGAGAAAGCCAGAGTGCCCTCACCAAATACGCTTGCCCCCTTTCTCTATGTCTCCTGTGTGTGTGTCTGTCTATCTGTCTCTCTTTCTCTCTTGCTTGAGGAGGGTCTTCCTTCACGTGTGCACCCTTCTGCCCTGCCACAACCAGCCAGGTGGTTGCAAGATGAGAAGGAGGGGACAGGAGGATCACCCAAAGTGAAGCCTCCACCATGGCTGGTGCTCGTTCCTCAGCCAGCCTGGATTTCCCAAAAAGAAGGAAATAAATAAATAAAAGGAGGAACAAAGAGCAAAGAATATTCAAGTATATATGATTTAGATCAGGGGTCCCCAACCACCGGGCCGTGGACCGGTACTGGTCCATGGAACATTTCCTACCGGGCCGCTGGTTTGCTGGGCGCTGCCATCTTGTTTGACAAGAAAGTGCTTCCGGGTGAGCTTTTCCAGTTGGAAAGCGGTGTTTGGGTCCTGAAGGAATCCTCGCGCCTTAGTTTCATCAAAGGGGGGGGGCTTCGAACGAAACTAAGGCGCGAGGATTCTTTCAGTACGCAAGGCAAGGCGAGCCGAGCGACTGTCCCGAAGCCGTCCCGAAGCCCATCAACAAAGGTACAAAGGAGGAGTTGAAGGTGGCGGGGAGAAGTGGGGGGTGACTGGTTGGCCGGTCGCTCAGCTCACCTTGCCTTGTCATGCATGCTGATGCTGGTACTGGGCCGTGGCACAAAAAAGCTTGGGGGCCACTGATTTAGATACCATGATTGGATACTATGTGTGACTATAGAGAAAATATTCAAAAATGCCAAAAATATCTGTCCTAGACCCAAAATGTGGAATAGTATGTATGTAGATCAGTGGCTAAGTCACAAGCTATAATTGGTTTGTTTTTAGTTTAGCATCATAAGTGAACCAGGCTATTATGACCTATTCAGTAATCCAGTTTTACAAAATCTGCTTTATTGTTACATGTATGCTAATTCAGCCAGCATTTTATTGGAGTAAATACCTGGGGGAAAGGGAGGGAGTTTCCTTGGTTTGAAAGAAGGTACTTTCCATTTATTCATCTATTAAAAGAAACCTTTGTTCATTGCCGTTTGCTCATCAAGCACTGCGAGAATAGTAAATTTGTAATGTGGGAAACCATCCATGTGTTTTTCTTCATTTGTATCCTTAATCCAAAGTAGCCCATTAAGACTTACTGAAATATAATTTAAAATTATTTATAGGAAAAAGCATGATGCTCAACTTCACATAGTTAATAATTGTTAGAAGAATTAGTATGGGAAAAGACAGAAAGAATCCTATTTATTACTTATCCCTAACACTGGGAAGAAAAATACATGGCCCTTTGTTTTCCATTCTCTTTTCTTTCACTTTGGAAGTATCTAGCAATAATGACTATATCTATTCACAAATACTCTGCTAGTATTTGTGTATTTCTCTGAGTGAGTGAGTGAGTGAGTGTGTGTGTGTGTGTGTGTGAGTGAGAGAGAGAGAGAGAGAGAGAGAGGAAGAGAGAGAGAGAGAACTCTTCCAATGTTTATGAAGTCTTTCAGTCCAAGTTAATTATTCTGTGGTGTTAATGTTACAACCAAGAAAACTTTGCAAGAGCTCTCAATTGCAGCCCAATTTGGAACAGAGTTAGTAACGCTTGGAATTATGGGAAGAACCATTATAGCTCAATGCTAAACCCATGTGGATAATCCCAGTTAAGCTGTAGGCATTAATCAGCTAGATATAAGAGGTTGGGGGAAAATAACTGCAATCAAAGTAAACAGTAATAGGCTAGGCAAGCAATATGATCTAGATTATAGTGGCTTCCGGATATAAATCAGGACCTGCTAATTATGGGCCTTAATAAAACTGAATAACAGTACTAATTGTTTTCAATATCCTGTTACATATTAAGCTGTGTGATACATTTAAATGGGATAGAGTCTTGAAAACATTCCACAATTATAAATCTCATTCAAGCGGAGATTTCTCGTGGTCTGGAGAGAATCGGTTAGCTGAAACTTAATTTTGACCTAAACAAGAGGCAATTTTTTGGGGGGGGGGGGGGGGGCTGAGGATTTGCATTCAAATGCTATTTGCCCCTGCAGGATGAAAGCAAGAGTAAGGGGGCAAACTTTATGTGATGATGCATACAGGTAGTCCTCGACTTACAAAAATTCATTTTAATGACCATTCAGAGTTAAAGCAGCACTGAAAAAAGTGATTTAAGACCATCTTTCACACTTACAACTGTTGTAGCATCCTCATAGTCATGTGATCAAAATTGTTTGGTGACTGACTCATATTTATGACTGTTGCAGAGTCTCGGGGTCATTGATCACCTTTTGTGACCTTCTGACAAGCAAAGTCAATGGGGAAGCCAGATTCATTTAACAAACCATGTTACTAAATTAACAATTGTATTGATTCACTTAACTGTGGCAAGAAAGGTCATAAAATGAGGAAAATTCATTTAACAACTCTTAGCCTCACTTAACAACAGAAATTTTGGGCTTAATTGTGCCGTAAATCGAGGACTGAATGGATGGGATTAAGATTTTTGGATACTTTTCTTCCAAAAAAAAGGGGGGCAGGGAAAGTTTTAGAAGATATTAGCTTTAGAATCCTTATTTTGAGGCTTACTATGTGATTCAAAGAGACTCTGATTGTGGATATATGTACATATTTAGATACCAAAAACATATTCAGAGGCCAGTTTAGTCTAGTGTTAAGGCACCAGGCTAGATAGCCATAGCAATAACACTTAGACTTATATACTGCTTTACAGTGCTTTACAGCCCTCTCTAAGCAGTTTACAGAGTCAGCAATTTGGATCCTCATTTACCCACCTCAGAAGGATGGAAGGCTGAGTCAACCTTGAGCCTGATGGGATTTGAACTGCTAAATTGTAGGCAGCTGGCTGCAGTAGAAGTAGCTTGCAGTACTGCACTGTAGTCTTAGCTCTAGTCTTACCTTGGGCGTGAAAGCCAGCTTAAACGTTACATTCATCACCTTGGGTTATTTATAAAAATAATAAAGGTGAGATATAATTATCTTATCTATCTATCTATCTATCTATCTATCTATCTATCTATCTATCTAAACAAATGTGACACTTGACCTATTCCTGGGGTAGCGTTATTAGGAATGAATCAGCTACTGAGCCAGAGTAAATACTGGGATGTAGATGTTCTGGAAGAGGGCTGTCAAACTCCTGGCCCATGGGCTGGATGCGTCATGTGCTGGCCATGCCCACATCCAGTTTAGTGATGGGGAAATATGTCCTGATAAGTCACGTGACCCAGCCATAACAACATGAGTTTGACACCCCTCTTCTAGAACAACTTAAAAGAAAATATTCTGGCTGCATTCATACATTGCACTAAGATGTAAAATGGCTTGTTTCATTTAACACAGTGTAAACCATGCCACTGTAGTTTGCTAGTCATTATTTATAGTCCAAATATATACCTGAATCAGGTGCTGACTTGAAATCATGGTTAAAAACTGGCTTGTGAAATTGGAACATAGGAATGGGTTGCAGCTACATTTAGTTACACTTTTAAAGCTGGCTAACTTATACAATATAATTAATCCAAAATATACTGACTTAAATCTAGGTTAAGATAGTGGAAGTGAATCCCACTATACTTAGTGGAAATTTTTGCACAGCATTGTTTATAAATGCAGCAAAACCTAATTTCTGACTGATGTAAGAATATGCAGGCCTGGTTTACCCTAAGGCAAATGAAGCAATCACTTCAAATAAATTACTAACAGTGTGCAATTTGCATGCCTCCCACTCATAAAATCATGGGGGAGAATGGTTCTCCTTCCATGTTGGCTTGCCTACCACTAACTGTATTTAATAAACTTTAGCATCAGAGATCAGAACTGACAAGCAGAGGAAACAAACATGGTCCTTCATACTACCTAATTTCAAGCTTTGCAACCTCGGTCAAGATTCTGCTTGAAATTACACAATCAAAAAATAACTATATGCTGTTCAACTATATCTCTGTTATAGAGAAAGCTTTTCATGCTAGGTTAAGCTTGGTTTCTTTTTCCTTGTTGGTTGGAATCCCACTTTCGGTGGCAGAATTGTCTTGGGGAATCCACCAAACAGGGAGGTGTGGTTTCATCAACTGGGCTTTCCACATTTCTGCCTAATGTTGCATTACTATTCAGAATGCGGGAGGGAAGGTTTCACGGTTCAAACACTACAACTTTTCCTTTCATTCTCTTTGTGTGGTGATTCTTCTGGATGAAATCAACATGCTGGACACAGGTGGTCTTAATTTGCCTGGATTAGACTTCTCTGTATGTGTCTGTCATTTGGAGATGGTTGCGTAGTTATTGCGTAGCTATTGCAATTATATGTCTGTGAATTTTAACACTGTTCGGGGATGCTCAAACTGCATAACACAGCAGGAAGTCGGGCGAACCAATCTACATAGGATGCCTACTTCTGCCCAACACAGTTGGGATTTTGAAGGCCTTTGCATCGGCCCACCTGCAGCCATCTGCCAACTACACTTAGCCATCAAGCCCTTCGCAGCAGAGGTACGAAGCGATGTATACATGCAGTTGCATCACATTGCTGCATACCTACACTGCAAAGGAGTTGTCCATTGCAAATGGTTGCAGATGGACAACACAAACACCTCCGCAATTCCAATTGTCCCTTGTACTGAGGTGCACTTCTTGAGTGCTGATTGGTTGATCCAACTTCTGGTCTGTTTGAGCGCCCCCTAGCCGAAACGTTTAACATTTGCAGGCGTAATATACGAAACAGCTATGCAACCAGTCTCGGAACGACAGACGCACACATTCGCTGACGGGCAATGACGGAAAGGTCTAATCTGGGCTTTAGGCGGCTCTCAAAGAGCGGAGCGTGGGTTGATTGTCAAGCGGCAACGGAGAGGAGGGCGGAGAGAGTGGCTCGCGCCTTTGCAGCCCAGAATGGAACAATAGAGGCAGGGGCGAGAGCCTGAGCGCTGCTACGAAACAAAGAGCGGCTGAAGACACTTCCACGCCCCGCTCTCCACCCACTCTCCGTCTTCCCTTTCTCACGTCTCTCCGGTTTTGCTCTAACCTGCTGGAAGGGAAGAGGGCAGCCGGGAGCCCCACCGACATCAAACGAGCCTTTCGATGCCCATCCACCCGCGCCATTCTTCTACAATTTCCCCAACAGACAAGAGAGACCTTGGGAAAGATATGCATTCGTTCTTCCCCTTCCTTTCTTCTTTCTAATTCCTCTGCTGCGAACTTGCTTTTGGTTGCCAGAACAGCGGACTTCGGAGAACGGGCGGACAAAAGGCTTTTGTCAACAGCTGCTTTGCAGGCAGCATCTAAGAAAGTTAAGCAGATGGGGAGTTTCTCTGGAGAAGCAGGGCGCCGCTTCTGCCGCCCCCGTTCTGCGATTTCGGCCGAGGGATGGCCCAGCTCGCCCTAACATGCGGCCGCGCTGCCCTTCCGGCTCCGCTGCTTCCTACCTGCGTCTCGGTGGGGTTGGGGGTACTTCATCCCCCTGCCGCCTCCCCCGTGGTCTCTACAGGGTTAGAGACTCAGCGACGAGCTTCTGCGCCGAGTCTGTGCTCGATCTCCGAGGAAAACAAAACTGCATTATGTGGATCTCACTCCTGGCTTTCCTAACGGTCGGGCTCCTCTCGCTGCAGAAATGCCAGCGGCATCCCGGCCCGGTCCTGGGAATGAGTCGCCTGCTGGCGGTGATTGTACCAGGCTCCGGGCAGCGCTGTAAGTTTCTTTTTCCCATCCCGAATCGCATCATGTTTTCCTTCCCTTTCTCCCGTCTTCTCTGCCACCCCGTCCTCACTTAATCCTTGAGATGCACTTGACTGGCTGCTTGCAGTTGTATCCGCGTCAGCCTAGTTATAGCATACTGGGATTTGTTCCAACCGCATAAGATCGAGCTTTAGTTAAATTGAACCCGAGAATCCCAAATCTAAGTTTTCTTAGAGTGTAGCTGTAATATAAAGTTACAGTTATATGAATTTATACCAGCATTGTCTCTTTTATACACTTCTAAAGGAGTTTAATATAAACAAGGAAGAAGTGCCTGATCTAAAGTAAATCGAATTTGAGACAGGAACTTTATACCCTTCTAATACATTCTTTGGAAAGTAATCCTGAATAATGTTGGGCGTTTTGATTTTGGGGTCCTAGCAGCTGCTTATCCTGACTTTGGAGAGAGACATTGGCAGTGATTTTATTTTTTATTTTTTGCCTGAAGAGTTGAATAGGATCTCCTGCTTGAAGGGGTTGGACTTGAAAACACCAAGGTCCCTTCCAACTTCTGATGTTATTTGTTCTGTGTTCAAGAAACCTTTCAAATGTATATAAATTCTGTTACCAGGATTTAAGACACAACCCTTACACATGGTCAGAAACATTGATTCAGCTGGTTCAGTACTGGATGTTCATGTACTGATAGCAGTTTGGCAGATTTCAGAAGGCCTTTCTCAGTCTTGCTTGTAGATACAACATCTGAAATTTAGACTTTTGGAAAATAAACAACATGATGTATCCCTGAGTTTAACTATTTACTTTTCCACATAGGTTATGAGTTTATGCATGAGTTTTACTATTTACAGTTCAGGTTTCCATATGCATGAATGAAAAACTGTAGGGTGTTATCACTACTTTTTCAAAGTATGTCTGTATTAACTTTGGATAATAACTGTCCTAGATGATTAAATTATTTTTGCGTACTATTGCTGTTCAGTTCCATTGGTTATAATATCTCTTCCCCCTGAATCCATTGAATAAGGGCAATCAAATTGCAGGAGATTATGCTTGACAGGTCTTCCCTGGTCCATGGAGTCCAGGATTTTGGGATAGTTGAATAAAAAATATGGTTTGTTCAACTTCTCTATTTTAAAAACTATGCTAGACTGTGGGATGCTATTGGTTCATGAAGAATATATGGGTAATTGAATGTTGCACTGAGTAAAACTTCAAATGAATTATAAACAGGACAAGAATGTTAGATTTTCTCCATAGATGTATTAATTACCTAAATAAAATCTGACTAATTGTTTCACTCTCCCCAAACTTTCCATGAAATAATAGTAATGAAAGAGTTTCAATAGAAGAATGGGTAGAAATCTTTAGAAACAATTGAAACTTCAAGAAAATAACCTATGTAGAAAAAATATTTCTCCTATTCCTCCTCCTTATAAAATTGTTTCACTAGCCTTCAGTCCTCATGTACCACTAACTACATTATGTGATATATCTCATTTGGTGATCAGCACAAGGACATACATGAACCTTGGTTACTTCGTCAGCACTATTAATTCCAAATTAATTCTACTAATTCTACTAACTACTAATTCCAAATTCTTTTCTGAAATATTCTATGGTATATTTTTAAAGAAACTATTGGACTTGGGGTTTTTTGAAAAAGAGAAACCATATTTAAAATCTTACCCTGTTGGGAACTCCTTAAGATAGTTCTAGTTTGATACCTTTTCTTAATTATAATTTCTATTCTGTGAACTGGCACTACAGTGGAAGTTTAAATCCCACTCTTCAGATAAAAAATAAATATTTGGATTTGGCAGGAAGACACTTACATGGAAGAAACCAAAACATTCCTGCATATTTAGAGTTGTCCAATTAGATCTGTAAGATGTTGGTCTATTTGCTAATTCCCTTACTGTGTAATAAACTTTTTCTAACCTGATGTTGTCCAGAAGTGTTGGATTACCACTCAGAATTTCTAGTCAGAATTGGAATCCTAACACATCTGGAATACTTACATTAAAAAATCATGTTTTCAAATGAGACTGGATATTAGGAATGTATCTTATTTTATTTATCTTATTTGTGTTCTGAGCCATCTAATATAGCACTTAAGTTAAAAATACATAAAATTAAATGTCATTAAAATTGTGCTTTTATTTGCATCAGCTTCCTATTTGATCAAGAAGGACTCAGCGGAAACTGAAATTCAAAGACTAATTACCATTAAGCTTAGTTTGATATTTGAATTCAATGCTATAATATCTATTTCCCTGAAATAAAGACTCAATTTCCTAAATAATTTATCTATGAAATAAAATTTTCTGGGAACATGATGTTTTCTTATCTAAACTTTTTTTAGCGAGAGAGCGGAATTGTTTTAAATGTAGAAGCATCATCCTTTCTGATAAACATCTATATTATTCCATACCTAAATACCATGGAGAGTATGCTTTAACTATGACATACATCATGCTATCTAAAAATGGGATCTGTATACAGATTACACCATTATGACATGTGGATTCCAGATTAATTTATTCATTACATGTGCAAATATTCTTGAAACACCAAATTAATCTAATTTGGAAATTGAAGTTAAAGTTTTTATTATGGATGTAGTAAATATCATGTTCCATTTCTTGATTTAAAACATAACAATATTTGTTGGAGGATATTTCTTTTCATCTAGCTTATACACCAAGTTTCTGCCTGGAGTCAATTAAAATATTCATGCTGGAACAAGTATGTTGTTACATATTTGACAAGTTAATAGCTCATATTGGACATAACAATAAACAAAGGTTTATGGAAGCAGTCTTTGGCTTCTATTCTGTCCCTCCCTTTTCTCCTTCCAGTGTAACTCTGGGAGGGAATTTGGGAATGTTTGCTTCTGATTTCAATTAATCAGAATTACATAGTGTGCCTCAACTGTAAACTGTGATCTACTTTATGGCCTGATCTATCCTCAAAAACTAAAGCCAGCCTCCTTTTGCTAATCCAAATTAAGACAAATTGCAGTTTGACTAGGTTCATTCAGATATAATATTTAATTATGTTTAATCAAATATGGAAGTAACCATTGAACTTGCTTTCCTACTGTTATTCCACAGAAGAGGAATGTGAAAGGCCCAAATTCACTGTTTTTTGAGCTGTTACAAATAGTAACTTTTATTATTAAGAATTAAAGATAATAGATCATTTGCCCAAAATGTAATTCTGTGCCTCTCTGTTTTTATATAATGCCTACTTTTTTAAATTTAAATTCAGTCTGAAGGAAATGTAAAAACAAACTCATTTTAAACCAGATTTAATTATAAAAACTAGATCTGATTTTGGTATCTTTATCTATTCCACTCAAAAGGAATGGAAAACTGTTCTGAATCAGAGGTGGTATTCAACTGGTTCACACAGGTTCGGGAGAACTGGTAGTGGTGATTTGGTGTGGGTCGCCTGTAAGGATGACCCCTGGCTGGCCATGCCCCCCACCCGGTTGCTCACTTTACCCGGTTGCTCTTCTAGCTTTCTCTACCATGTGGTGGTCATGGCGCAACTTGGGCGGATGTCCCAGGGCTGCTGCACATGCGCACTGCCTATGCAACTGCTACACATACAGTGTGCATGTGCAGGAGTCCTAGGACATCCGCCCACCTGCCCACCCTCCCAGAGCACGTTTTCTTCCTTCTCCTGGTGGACACGTCTCCTCCAGTCCAGCCTGACCAGCCCGCAGGTGGCTGAGCGGATATCCCGGTGCATCTTGCCCCCCCTTGTTGCAAGATGCCTGCAACTGCTGTGTGCTTTTTTTGGTGCGGCTGCAGTGCAGCAGCCGCACCGGAAAAAGCACGCCCTGTTCTATGTGCCGGGCCTGGCAAGTCCAAGCAGCCGGCACATAGAACAGGGTGGTGCCAGACCGTTGGAGAAGCGGAGCAGAGCCGGATGTCAGTAGCCACCTCTTTCGCAGCACAAAAAGCCTCCCCGAATCAGACGGCTGATTTCCTCTTTCTCTGCCTATTTGTTCAGTATGGCTGAAGAGGAGGAGACCAGCTGGCCAATTCGGGGACGAATTATGTGCTGAAAGAGGTAGCTAGAGACTGAAAAAGAGTCACCTCCAGTAGTGGTCCCTTTGGCTGGCTGTTCTCCTTCCTGGCCATACAAAACAAGCAGGTGGAGAAAGATGAGACCAGCCATCCGATTCGGGGAGGATGCGTGCGCTGAAAGAGGCAGCTGGAGACCGAAAAAGAGTTGCCTCCAGCAGCGGCTCCTTTGGCTGGCTGGTATTCTCCTTGGCCATACAAAACAAACAAGTGGAAAAAGAGAAGACCAGCTGGTTGATTCGGGGAAGCTTTCTGTGCTGTGAAAGAGGCAGCTACTGATCTCCGGCTCTGCTCTGCTCTGCTTCTCCAACAGTCTGGCGCAGCCCAATTCTGTGTGTGGGTTGCTCAGACTTGCCAGGCCCAGCACATAAAACAGGGTGTGCTTTTTTCAGTGTGGCTGCTGGACTGCAGCCGCATCGAAAAAAGCGTGCAGCAGCTGCAGGCATCTTGCAACAAGGGGGCAAGAAGCCCCAGGACATGTCATCATCTCCTGGCTGGCCAGGCGAAGAGGAAGCAACTGGCAGGAGAAGGAAGAGGTGCAACTGGCAGGAGAAGGAAGAAAGCGTGCTCCTGGAGGGCAGGTGGCGGGCAGGTGGGTGGATGTCCTGGGACCACTTAAAGGTTGACTTTAAGAGCGCCCCCATGGAAGAAATCAAGAACAGAGCAAATGTAGTGGCAGCGGGGGTGATGGGCGTGTGCATCCCTTTACAAGGAATGTGAAGGGAGGCAGACACCCCGCCTGTAAGGAAAAGAGAAGGTGCTGAAGCCCTGGCTATCACCCGGCAGGGGACCTCAGAGGGACCTGTTGCTCCCACTGCTGCTACTTTTGCTCTCGTTCTTGGCTTCTTCCATGGGGGCGCTCTTAAAGTTGATCTTTAAGAGCTGGAAGACATTTTG